AATAGTTTTCAATAAAATTGTATCAGATTTGTGGAAGAGATACACTATTGAAGCATTTTGTCTTGTACTCATCAGGACAGATATAAGAATGTTGAACAACATTTATCTTGCACAAGAAAGTGTGTTGATTAGTTGACAAGTCGCCTCTGATTGATCAAGACATTGCTATTACAATCGCACAAGTGAACAATTGTTCACCATGCTTTTTGTTTAATTTATAAAAGGTGCCATGTCTGGACATGTTGCTTTTGCTTGCAGAGGTCTGGTCCATGTGTATCAATATACGTAGCTACTAAAAAGTGTGAGTGGGCTACATCGCGAGTCTGACTAATCATCTTAAATGGTTATGTGTAATTCGAAGTACATTTGGAATTGTTTATCAAAATTTGTCCAATTCCAGAATCAAATCTGTTACACATTATGTACTGAGTTTTGTAAGTGCATGCCCAGTATGGCCAGTACTCCATTGTAAACAGCCAAAGGACTGAAATATAAACGATCTGTCAGTCATTGGAACATACAGCACATTTACCCGCCAATGCACCAGCAATGAAATTCATATATCACATGACCTATTTGTGTAGTGAACAAAACATACTTTTGGATTGAGGGTAGCATCCCGGAAGTGGAAAATCCCATTGTGTTGCTATCGCATAATAGCGACGTGAAGCCAAGCTTCACCTACTGCTCAGATGTTTCCCATACCTTGTACTTGCAAAGTAATTTGAGGTAGTCTGGTACTTTTCAGGTCCTAATGTGACAGCCTTACGCCTATTTACAAGTATATGTGATACACTGCCTCATAATGTTTTCCAAAAGTGTCTGGAAGCCTCGGTAACTGTGAGGCAGGTAGAGGGATCTTGAATGTAGCATTGGAAGGGCCTTAGGCCTTGATCTTGACTAACTGGAATGAGGTATTTGCTCCCTTTTTGGATGAATATAGAGTCTTCAGGGATGATGGTCAAATTGACATAGGAAGCCATGCAAGTAGGGGAGCGAAAAGTAAAATGATAGTGGTCAAGGATAGAGAGGATGCTTTGTGAGCAGGATTGAGACATGATGTGTTGCCTACCTCGTGCCAAGCTGAAGGAGATCTCAAGTTAGCTTTAAAGGATACCAGAGAGGAAGGGGGAGGATCCAGTTGTTGTGGTCCACGTTGGCGCCAACAACATTAGTGAGAGTAGGCAAGAGGTTCTTTTTGGGGAATATCAGGAATTAGAAACAAAACTTAACCTGGTCTGGCCTACATGTGACTCCAGACCCACAGCAATGTGGATGACTCTTAACTGCCCAGATGGGCAATAAATGCAGCCTAGCTAGCGATGCCCTCATCCCACGAATGAATAAAGAAAAAAAATTACAAACAAAACTGCGAAAGTTGTAGTCTCTAGATAATTACCTGAACCACACGCAAATTGGCAAAAAGATAAGATTAGAGAAGTAAACACATGGCTAAAAGAGTGATTCCATTTTGTGCAGCATTGGCATCAGTATTGGGACATGGAAGGTACTGTACATTTGGAACGGGCTTCACCTGAACTGACCTGACACCAGGATCCTAGTGCAAGGACTAAACAGGGTGGTCACAAGAACTTTAAACTCATTAAGTGGGAGGGCTGTGGGGAGAGTTCAGGAGAGGTTATATAAGTTTCCAGAACAAGTAACAGAACAGAGTATGGAAAGGGTCAGGAATCTAACATCAGGCACAGCAGACAAGGGGGTGGGGGAAGCAGTCAACGCAGGACTAGAGATGTTGTACTTAAATGCGTGCTGTATATGAGACAAGGTAAATTAATTTGTTGTGTAGATTGAAAGTGGTACATATGATGTTGTAGGCATCACAGAGATGTCTCTGCCAGGGGATCAGGGCTGGAACTAAATATCCAAGATATGCGTCCTATCAAAAGGTCAGACAGACGGGCAATGACAGCAGGGTTGTCTTCTTAGTAAGGAATGAAATTAAATTGATAGCAAAGCAATATAGGGTCAGAAAGCACAGAATCTATGTGGTAGCATTGAGAAACTGCAAAGGAAAAAGACCCTGATGGGAGTTATGTACAGGCCTCCTAGCAGTAATCAGGATGTGGGGAAGGAAATAAATCAGGGGATAGGAAAGGCATGTAATAAAAACACTATTGCAATAATCATGGGGGAATTTCAATATCCAGGTGGATTGGGAAAATCAGATTGGTACCAGATCCCAAAAGGGATTTGTGGAAGGTCTGTTTTGAATTAGCTTGTGGCAGAACCCACTGGGAACAAGCAATTCTGGATTTGGTAATGTGTAATGAGATAGACTTGATGGGGTAGCTTGAGGTGAAGTAACCTCTAGGGGAATTCATTTTGCAATTTGAGAGGGAGAAGCTGGAATCGGATGCAAGGGTATTACAATTGTGTAAAGGTAACTACAAAGACATGAGGGAGCAGCTGGTCAGAGGTAATTGGAAAGGGAGTCTAGCAAGGAAGATGGTGGAACAGCAATTGCAGGAGTATCTGGGCTTAATTCGTGGGCTCAGCAGAAATTCAAAGGAAGAAGAAACATACCAAGGGGTGGACGAGGCAACCATGGTTGACCAGTCAGAGACAGCATAAAAGCAAAGGAAAAAGCATAGACTGTGATGAAGATTGGTGGGAAGCAAGAGGATTGGGAAGCCTTTAAAAACTCAGCAGAGGACAACTAAATAGGAATTACGGAGGAGAAGATGAAATATGAGGGCAAGCTAGCTAGTAATGTAAAAGAAGATGGCAAGAGTTTGTTTTCGAGATCTAAAAAGCTAAGAGAGAGGCAAGAATGGACATTGTCATTTTCCAATAATCCATTCTAGAAATCGTAATGGGGAATAAAGAAATGATGGAGGAACTTAATAGAACTTTGCATCAGTGCTGTTGGTGGAAGACACCAGTAGCATACCAGAACTTCAAGAGAGTCGGGGATAGAGGTGAGTGTGGTGGCCATCACTAAGCAGATGGTGCTGGGGCTGCAGTGAGGTCTGAAGGTGGATAAACCAACTGGATCAGATGGTCTGCACCCTAGAGTTCGGAAGGAGATAGCCAAGGAGATTGTGGAGGCATTGGTGGTTATCTTTCAGGAATCACTGGAGTTAAGAAAGTTTCCACAGGACTGGAAAATGGCTAATGTAACACACCTATTTCAGAAGGGAGGGAGGCAGAAGATGGAAAATTATAAGCCAATTATCCCGAACTCAGTTGTAAGTAAGATTTTAGAGTCCACTATTAAGAATGAGATTGTGGAGTATTTAGAAGTGCATGGTAAAATAGGGTTGAGGCAGCATGGCCTCATCAGGGGAAGGTTATAACTGACAAACCTGTCAGGATTTTTTGAGGAGGTAACGGGCAAGTTGGGCAAAGGAGAGCCAGTGGACATGATCTATTTGGATTTCCAGAAAGCCTTTGACAAGGTGCCAAACAGGAGGCTGCTAAATAAGAGCACGTAGTATTAGGGACAAGGTACTGGCAAGGAAAGAAGATTGGCTGACTGGCAGAAGACAGGCAGTGGGGATAAAGGTGTCTTTTACAGGAATGGCGGCCTGTGACTATTGGACTTTGCAGGGGTCAGTGTTGGTACCACAACAATTCACGTTATACATTAATTATTTGGACGAAAGAATTGACAGCATTGTTGCTAAGTTTGCAGATAACACAAAGATCGGCAGAGCAACAGGTAGTGTTGGGGAAGCAGGTGGCTGCAGAAGAACTTGGACAGGCTAGGAGAGCGGGCAAAGAAGTGGCAAATGGAATACAGTGTGAGAAAGTGTGAGGTTATGCATTTTGTAAAGACTTTGTAAATCTGAAGTGCAAACGAACTTGGGAGTCCTTAACTCTTAAAGTTAACATGCAAGTTCAGCTGGCAGTGAGGAACACAATATTTGTATTCATTTCAAAAGGGCTAAAATATGACAGCAAGGATGTACTGCTGAGGCTATATAAGGCACTAGCCAGACTGCATTTGGAATACTGTGAGCAGCTTTCGACCCTGTGTCAAAGGAAAGATATTCTGGCATTGGAAAGGGCCCAGAGGAGGTTCACAAGAATGATCCTGTGAATGAAGGGCTTGTCATATGAGGAGCAGTTGAAGACTCTGGGTCTGAAATCAGAGTTTAGAAGGAATAGGGGGTCTCTGATTGAAACTTTGCAGAATACTGAGAGGTCTGGATAGAGTGGATCTGGAGATGGTCCTACAAGTAGGACAGACTACAAACCGAGGGCACAGTCTCAGAATTGTTGCAAAGTTGGGTAGAGTACTTGCGGATTGGGAGGCAGGAAGTTAGAATTTGGTGTTTGGTTCACAATTATTATGTGAACTAAGAGAAAAAGATTGTACCACTTTCAATACATTTTATGAGAATATGTGTCATTACATGTGATAAAGAATGAACACAGATTGTTATGCCAGTTCTTTCTGAATCTGACAAGCTCCATCTTAGTATGATTTTGATATTATTTCCAAAGGATCACCTGAATTATTGTGCTAAACATATTTTTGTGTCCTCTTGTTGAACAGGAGCAACCTCTGACTTCTCTGCCTGGGAACAAGCTAGCAAATAAAAAGTGATTAGAAAATGTTGGAAAGTCTGACAAGCAAGACCTTCTGTTCTAATATTGTCTTGACTACTAATTTATTTTCCACCACCAACCATGATCGTTGATAGTGCCCAAGGCTACTATGTAATGGGTGGCGTTGTATTCTGCTCTGTTGAGTTGCAAGACTTGCTGTTGTATGTTTATGAGACAGCATCAGTATTGGGCTCCTCTCCCACCCTTGTTTTTGTTTGATCTTATTCAGTTACACCCTCACCATTACTTTTAGTGAAAATTCCAATAATAGATTTTTTAAAAAATTGTAGAAGTATAGAACTTTTCATTAATTGTAAAAGGTTAGTTTCATTAATGAAGAATTGTGAAGCTGGGTATTAAAAGAAATGTTCATATGCTGTTGCCTTACTAAAATAAAACAAATTAAAAACACACTTTTAAAAATTTGTTTGAATTAAAACACAGTTTAATATTTCTTGATTTCATTCTGCTACTTTAATAGATTAACAATTATGTGTTTTGCAATGATTATTGCACTGAAATTTTCAATGTGACATCCCTATTAACGATTCAAAGTCAAATGTATTGAAATATACCATCATGGTATATTTAACACATTAGAATCAATGAACGCATCCTTAAATTACAATGGAAGTCTTGTAAAAGTAATTTTGTACCACTGCAGATGTTCTCTCCAAATGACCATACAAGAAAATAAACAGAACACAATACACAAAAGATCAGTAACATTACATCATATAGTAGTGACCCTTACTACAGGACTTTATAATGCAGTGATATGACATTATTGGCAAACCAGACATTGTAGTCCCTTTAGGTACTGAGTAAATACATGACTACTATGAGTTCTCATTGCACACTAGAAAATTGCAGCCAGTCCTCATATGATCAGGGGTGTAGTATGTTCCGAAATATGCAACTGTAGATTTGATCAGCGGAGGAAAAGAACATTCAATCTTCACATTTCGGTATAACAACATTGAAAAATTGATCAACACTAGATCTACAAAAAGTAACAAAGTTGGATACCTTGTGAAGACCTATTTTGATCAAATTACAATGTTTCTTTTTGGCATTTTGCTTCTCTACTTACAAACCATTCACCTACCATAATACCACACTACACGTCTGATTCTAACTATAGCAAGGCATAGCAATATTCCTTGGCAATTTATGTCATTAATCAAATTATTCTGAACTTCCGGAGTTCAGAATTATTAAATATTTGAGGAGTTACACCATTGCATTTAAATACATAAAATATATTTTAAATTAATTTAGGGATACAAGCTGTGATGCAAATAGCCATCTTCACAGAAAATGTTTAATAATTACAAGTCTCTAGTATTACAAGAAATAAAAATATATTTTCAAATACACATCAGATGAGATTATTTATAAGATGTCAAACAAGTGTAGAGTTACATTTTGGAATTTTGCCACTGAAGTGATTAAAACAATTCAACTGTGTAAGATTTAAACTGTAGGTGTATTTTTGTTTATTGTGTCAATGAAGCAAACTGCTTTTTTGACATATAGAATTCTTAATTTTAGAATTTTAAAGTTAATATAAAGAAGAAAACGATGGTATTGATGAAAACAATTAATTTCTGTAATACAAGATGTTGATATGCTGATCTCCAAAAGCAAAGTACTAAATATTGACTGTAACTGTAGGAAATAAATCATGTGTCTGACAATGATTACCCATACTTCACTACCACCAAATCAAAATGAAACACTTAGATATTTCAGGTTTGTATCACTGGACTAAACTCGGACAATTCAACAGATGCACAATAAAAGCCCTGAGAAATGAAAATCTAGGTGATTACTGTACATTTGACAAACTGAAGCTGTGAATGTGGTATGTATGATTGAACTATTACTACACGGTGCATTATAAACAAAAATATACCTATTTTTCATTGTAAATACATACTGTGTTATGTTCATCTGTTTTAGTAACATTGGTCAATGACCAGGTTGTATTCCTTCCACTGATTGTTCAGTCCGAATATTCATCCAGCTCACAGGTACAGGGTCATCAGAAAGGCAAACGTCTGCTAAAGTTTCAATTTTTGACCAATTATGATCTTTCTTTGAGGTAAGATCAATCAAGTATGATCGCCAGTGAGCACTTCGGTCATGAACCTAACAGTAAAAGGTGAACAAAAAAATGAATTTACCCATTAATCTGCTGGATAAACGCATAGCAAATATTTAGCACTTATTATTTAAGAGCAACCTTTTGTTTTTATATAGAAAACATGAGCAGGAATGAGATAGCATACAATATACATGTATAGAAGAGTAATGGTTTTCAGAATACACAAAATGATGACCAAAAGTATTGTCTGGTGGCCTGAAAAGTCAGACAAGAAGGTCCTAAGTTCAAATCACAGAAAAAACAGTACGAAATACAGCAGAAATTTTGGCATTTATTGCTAAAGAAATAGAGTATATAAGTAGAGAGGTGTTGCTGCAACTTCACAAGGCATTAGCCAGACCATACCTGGAGTACTGCAAACAGTTTTGGTCCCCTTGCTTGAGGAGGGCTGTAGTTGCATTAGAGGCTGTTCAGTGGAGGTTCACTAGATTGATTCCAGAGATGTGGGTTTGTCTTATGAAAGAAGATTGAGCAGTTTAAGCCTACACTTTCTAGAGTTTAGAAGAATGTGAGGAGATCTAATTGAGGTATATAAGATGCTGATGGGAATTGTCAAAGTAGACATAAGAAGGTTGTTTCTTGATGCGGGCAATCTAGAATGAGAGGTCACAGTTTTAGGATAAGGTGTAGCAGATTTAAAACATAGATTAGAAATTACTTCTCTCAAAGGGTTGTGAATCTGTGAAATTCACTACCCCAGAATAGTGGATGCTGGGACATTGAGTAAATTTAAGGAGACAGACAGACAGATTTTTAATTAGTAATGGGCTGAAGTGTTATGGAGAGTGGGCAGGAAAGTGAAGTTGAGGCCGAGATGAGATCAGCCAAGATTGTATTAAATGACAGAGCAGGCTCAAGGGGCTAAATTGCCTGCTCCTGGTTCTAATGTTCCTATCTTTAACGCGTGGTATGCACTGAATTAATTGAACATGCAATAAAACATAGTCTAGTTGCACAATCATCTTTGGTATCCTCGGTGAGTAAGATTGTAAGCTTGATTTCTGCTCCTGAAACTTGTAAATGCAGAACTTCAAAGTCTGAATGGGATTCAGCTAAGCTGAATGGCCCTTATAGAGAAATAGCCTGCCAGTACTAAACCCAGCAGATCCACACGTTAAAACCAGCCAGTTGGTGATGTGACAGGAATTCTCAATGAAAGCAAGCCAAGTGAAAGGTTTACCTTTATTGCATTTGACGTGAAAAAAAAACTTAGAGTTACCTCACCTTACTGTTATTCATGGCACCTGGTGAATGTGTGGATGCCAAGTGAGGACAGGACTGAATCTGGAAAGTTAGCATCCTCGTATGAAAGAAAGTGATCCTGAGCTTTCTCTACCTCTCTCAATATTTTGACAGTTGGAACCAGAAACAACAGACACAACAGAGTTCATCCCCCATCAATCCCCTCTCCCTTGTAATTGGTCTTTTACAAGGGAAGGTATTGATATCCATTTATGAACAGATGAATTGCAAATTACCTGTGTCGTGTTTCCTACCAGCTACAATCTTAAAAGTTTTAGATACAGGCCATATCCATTGAACCCCAGTCTACATTATTCAGAGATCTTCTGAATGTGTCCTCGGACCGAATTTTGATAGCATACCTCTGAAGATCAAATTTTTTGGCGTAATCATTTTTAAGTCAGTATCAGGACTGACAAGGTATATTCAAATTACTGTTCTTAATGCTCTTATCTTTCTATATAGCTGATACAAAACAATGTCCTGAAACTATTGAACTGTAGCCACAGAATTTAAAAACGATGACTAAAGAATTGCGTGGTTACTTTAATGAAACACAACATTCCAAGGCACTTGGCAGCACCAATTTATGACACAAAACATGATACTGAGCTACATAAAGAACAAACATCTCAGACAAGACAGGCTGGTTTTAAGGACTGTCTTAAAAGAGGCCCAGGCAACTGAAGGCATAGCCAACAATGGTGGAGCAATTAAAACTGGAGATGCTGAAAAGGACAAAATTACATGAGTACAGAAATCTTGGAGTGCTGTAGGAAATTACAGAGATAGAAGGATGAGGCCATGGTGAGATTTGAAAACAGAGATAAAGATTTTAGAATCAAGACATCACTTGATCAGAAGCCAATGTCAGTCAGCTAACCCAGCTGACTGACAAATGGAAATTTGTATGAGTTAAGACTAAGGCAGCAAAGTTTGGACAACCTCAAATTTATAGAAGGAAGAATGTTGTATGCAAGCCAGGATGCATTGAAATAGTCAAGTCTACAAGAAACAGAAGCATGGATGAGTATCTCAGCAGCAGATGATCTGGGACATGGACAAGGTTCGACAATGCTATCGAGGAAATAGGCGGCCATAGTGACGAACCAATCAGGTGTTTGGAAGCTCATTTTTGGGGACCAAATAAATTGGTTTAGTCTTTAGCAACACTCGAGAAGTCAACAAAGGTAGTGGGAAGGTAACTTTTTTTTGTCAGCGTATATGTAAAACCTAATGTTGTGGTTTTGGTCATGTCACTAAATGGCAGCATATAGATGAGAAATAGGAGCATGCCAAAGGATAGATCACCGGAGGCAATGATGTGAGAGTGGGAAGGGAACCCATTTAAGGTGATAATCTGGCTACAGTTTGGCAGATAGATGAAAGCAGCTCTACACAGCTGGACAACGGTGGGGAGAAACTGGAAGAGGATGGTGTGGTCAACTTTGTCAAAGGCTGCTGCAGGTGGAGAAGTAGTCAAGGCGGCTAATGGAATGCTGGCATTTATATCCAGAGGACTGAAGCCTGAGGATGCAGAAGCTATGCTGCAGCTGGACAAAACCCTGGTTTGACCCCACTTGGAGTACTGAGAGTGGATCTGGGCACCACACCTTAGAAAGGATATATTAACCTTGGAGGGAGTACAATGTATGTTAATAAGGGGGTTAAGTTATGATGAGAGATTATATAAATTAGGCCTGTTTTCTCTATAATTTAGAAGGTTAAGGGGTGATTTGATTGCAGTCTTCAGATATTAACAAGAAGAGATAGTTTATATATCCTATTTCCACTGGTTGGGGATTCTAGAACTAGAGGGCATAATCTAAAAATTAGGGCCAGCCTGTACAGGAGAGATGTTAGGAAACATTTCTATACACAAAAGGATGGTAGAGGTTTGGGACTCTCTTCCACAAATGGCAATTGTTAATAGATCAGTTGTTAATTTTAAATCAGATAAATTTATTTGCGCAAAGGTATTAAGGGATATGGGCCAGAGGCAGGTATATAGAGTTAGGCCAAAGATCAGCCGTGATCTCTGTGAATGGCTAAATAGGCTCAAGGGCTGAATGACCTACTCCTGTTCCCTACGTTCCTATTTATTCTTTATCATCGTCACAAATTATGTCATTTGTACTGTGAAAAGAGCTGTTCCAGTCATGTAGGAAATGCAGAAACATGCATGAATTCAAATATGAAATTCCACCATGTAACATGTTCAAGAACTTTAGATAAAAGGGTGTTTTGCAAGGAGAGTGGTGTCATGGCTTGGGCTTTTGAGGAAACAGATGCTGACACCAGATTTAAAGGAGAGACAGCATCTGTTTATAATATTGGCTAACATGGGGACCATGAGTGGATGCTGGGTGTTAGGTTTAATGGAAATAAGTTTAACAGAGCAGGAGATGGGTCACATGGACAACATGAATTTGGATGAGACACATACAGAGCTTGATGAGAAACGAGAGAGAGATGGGATTTTAGGGCCGGGACAACAGGGAACTTCAGAAGAAGGTTTGCCTGTTGGATTAATAGAAGGGAGGGAAATAGTAGAGGCAGTTAATCTGGTGGTATCAGTGACAGAGAAGTTCATGAGCTCCTTGTAGTTAACTTTGGAGATGTGGGTGGAGGAGAGATAGAAGAGTTTAAGATGGTTTGAAGTTGAGAAAAGAACCAGAGGTTATATTTGTTTTCATGGATAAATCTGAAATGGTGAACAGTTTTAGTAGACAAGGGTAGGACAAGGTAGTGTTTTTTATAGTTTAACCAGTTTTGTGTTCAGATTTCTGTGTTGGATGGCTATTTGTGATATCATTTCAAGTTCTGGTCCTTGGGCTTAAGAAAGTTGTAATGAGGGCCGTACGAGCAGAAATAGCTGAGGTGAGAACATAAAATGTAAAGGTTAGGTTGCAGTTCAGAATCAGTAGTGACGGAAATCTTGTGGCATGCTCAAAACAGCTAACTCCATTACGTGGTAAAACTGAATATTTATACAGGAGTATGCTGTCATTCTTAAATATAAAAAGGAAGATAATTTTTCTTCAATTAAATAACTGCACAAATGTTCAACTTGTGAAAAAGACAAGAGAAATATCAATCCATCATACAATACAGGCATATTTTACCTACTATAATGATATATATCAAGAATGTATTCTTATTTGTGGGGATGAGAGCCTTTATTAAGTGATAATTGTTAACAGTATGATTCCAAAATACATTTTTCAATAGGCAAAAAACACAAAAAAATTTGAAATGCACAAGTTAAGGAGCCCTTACAGAAACGTGTCTTCTCAAAGTGGACATGTCTGTGAAAGTTCGTTCACAAGCCTTGCATTTATAAGGCTTCTCCCCTGTGTGAATTCGTTGGTGACGTCGAAGTGCTCCTTGCTGGGTAAAAGCCTTTCCACACTGTTCACAAAAATATGGACGTGTTTCTGTGGAAAATTACAAGATTCAAGGAATAATACTGAAAGGTAGAGAGACAATAAAGCATTGCCACTTTCAATTATTAGGACTGTGCCTAAATGTGTAAATATGCAATCATTAATATAAATCAATCAAGTCCTTTGTGGTCAGGTGAAGTAATTCAGACCCTCATCACTGTATTAAGTCATCCTTCAAAGATTTCTTCATTTATTATTGTATATGTTGGGCACAATTTTTACATTTTTAAACTTGTCCAGTGTGCTTACTTGGTATACATGCAAAATTTGTTAATGAGCACCTTAAAATCATCTGTCCTATATTTCAAAATATACTGCTTAAATCTATTCACTCCATTGTTATTTTCAGAATTTATTATAAATTACTGACCAAGTGAGCTCATTCTCTGTATGAAATTCTCCTAACAACTGAGGCTTCAGCGTCTGATTGCTGTTAATTAAGCACCTCGTTTTGTTGAAGGAAGACTGGTGTTTAGGAAGTGTCTCATTCCACAAGACAAAATCTGTCATTTGTAACGTTTAATAAAGAGCTAGCTGTTTACAGAATTAAGTGCTTAACTTAACATCAATATTTTAAATAACGTCACAGACCTTTCAAACTTAAATATTGATGCTCAGCATCAGAGGTAATGACAAATGCAGACAATTACAACATCAGTATTTTATGAACGGAATATATCGCACTGTGAACATTAAACAGTGAATCAAACATGCTTTTTCCTGACATGACCATTTTGGCTAGTTCTTTAACAATATGTTACACTTCAGAGACAAGTTAAAAACAAGTAATACATTTTTGATAACTTTACTCAAAAATTATTTCAGTATGTTCTATTCCAGAATGTAAACCATATTATAACCTATGTACTGTATAAATTTGAAATATAGATTAATGGTCTATAATAGAACTGTTACACACCTGCATGTATATTGCTGTGCTGGGCCAAGGAGGCTCTCAGCCCAAAGGTTTTCCCACAAACATCACATTTATAAGGTTTGGCACCCAGGTGACAACGCTTGTGACATTTCAAGTACTCATTAGTGGCAAAATGTTTCCCACATACATCACATCCGAAAAGGCGCTCCCCTGTAATATAAAATATTGTTAACATTCTTTTTCCTGGTCTGTATGATTCACTAACCTAATTAACTAAGCCATTTGAGCAGAATGAAAAGAAGTTTGACTTTCTCCAGTGTACCTTTATATAGTACTTCTGAAGGTCATACTTTAGACATTTTGATCAGCAGTGGAAAGCAAGAAGAGATAATTTCCTACATGGTTCAGGAACATAGGTTAGGAGCTTACATTAAAAAAAATCTATAAGTGAATCTTCATAAAACAAAAAACATCTTTGGAAATGAGTACAGAACAGACCTTGTCTCTTGCAGAGTAATCTTCCTTCTTGACTGTATGAGTTCTTTTCTTTTGAGAATAGACTGATATTGTCACAATTATAGTATAATCAGTAACATATAAGATTGAGCTATAGCTATAACCTAAAAATCAGATTGTTAGGTCAAGTATACTTAACAAATGTAGTAGAGAATGTAGCAAGGGAACAACTGTGGTCACTTCGCTAATGTTAAATTATTTTCAGTTTCAAATTATAGCATTGTACAATGCAATCATAAGACCAGAGGAGGAAGGGCTGAAAGGCTTCCCTCTTTACCCATTCTGCATCTGACTGTAACAGGTTTCTTCTTTAAAGAGAATGCTTGCTAAATCAGTAAGCATTTAACTTTTTATGTGCTGTGACTGTAAAAGGCACTTAGGGACAGGGTTTCTTCAAAGGGTTCTAAAAATAAAAGAGACTATGTATGTATTGTACTTAGCACTTAGTCTAAATAAAAAATTAACTGCTCTGTACACACGTAGATTTGTGAGTTCACAGAAACACACACCACACACACACACATAAACTTTAAAGTGTGGGCATAGGTTAAGTAGTTCTGTATTTTAAAAAAAATCCAGTAAAGATCAGTGTTATAACGGATCTTGTAGTTTGACCAGGTTTCAAGCTGGGCTCAATGGTCCCTCTGGATTTAGCATTGATACAACATAAAGATGCCATTAGACAATTTATGTCTTTTCTTCTAGAGCTTATGGCTGCTGGATTGATTCTTAAAATGCTGCCTCCAGCAAGTGCATGACCAAAGAGCAGATAGGGCTTGAGCTTGCAGGATGGATGGAATGAATGAAATATAGTGTTCCCACAAACATGCTCCTACTTTTCCGGTGTCTTCCTAGACACAAATAGGGTTAGTTGCTCATCACATGATGCTTTCATCAACTGACCAATTACTACAAAAAATGGTTATAGCAAATTATTTCCAGAAGTATGGCTTAGACATAATTTGAATACTTTTGGACAAGTTCGTTCTTAGTAAAAGCCCATTATCCAAAGTGATTTTGTCCAATGGCTTGCTCCCCACTCAGTTGTATATACTAATAGCTGTCTGAATGTTTTTGAATAGGGCAGAAATTGCAGTCATTCATACTATTTTAAGGTGATTGTCTTTGCTAAGTTCTTCTTGACATCCTAACTGTATTTTGACTTGCTCTGGAAGTTGTAAGGTATAGTCACACAAATGCTCGGACGTCATGGAAACTGCTGTTTCAGTCACTGAAATGCTATTATTCGGTCTTTTAAAATTCAACCGGTAGTTTCAGCTCAATAATTAAATAAAATCATTTCCTACAGTTTAAAAGTTAACAGCTTATAGGAACTAGGCAAAACATAACTTTAGTGCTCACAATGTGTAGTTCAGATAGCAAACATTTCTATAAATATATAAAAAAGAGGTAAACATTGGGCCTTTAGAGGATGACAAGGGGGATTTAATAACAGGAAATAGCTGAGGCATTGAACAGATATTTTGTGTCGGTCTTCACAGAGGAGGACACAGATAACTTGCCAGTAATTGATGCTAAAGAGACTAAGGTAGGCGAGGACCTAGACACAATCATTATCACAAAAGAAAGTAGTGTCGGGCAAGCTAATGGAGCTAAAGGTAGATAAGTCTCCTAGCCGTTTTGGAATGCATCCCAGGGTACTAAAAGAGATGGTGGAAGTGATAGCAAATGCACTTCTGGTAATTTCCAGTTCCTGCAGATTGGAAAACAGCCAATGTGACGCCATTGTTCAAAAAAAGGAGGTAGACAAAAGATGGGGAATTATCAGGTGGTTAGCTTAACTTCTGTAGTGGGGAAAATATTTGAATCTATCATCAAGGAAGAAATAGCAAGACATTTAGATAGAAATTGCCCCATTGGGCAGATGCAGCATAGGTTCATGAAAGGCAGGCCCTGCTTGAGCATTTGTTGGAATTCTATGAAGACATTATGAGCACGGTGGACAATGGGGACCCAGTAGATGTGGTGTATCTGGATTTCCAAAAGGCATTTGACAAGGTGCCGCACAAAAGGCTGCTGCATAAGTTAAAAGTGCAGGCAATGTATTGGCATGGATCGAGGATTAGTTAACCATCTGGAAACAAAGAGTGAGGATAAATGAGTTCCTTTCTAGTTGGCGAACAGTGACGAGTGGTGTGCCTCAGGGATCAGTGCTGGGACTGCAATTGTTTATAATTTACACAGATGATTTGGAGTTGGGGACCATGTGTAGTGTGTCAAAGTTTGCGGATGACACTAAGATGAGTGGTAGAAGGTCTGGCAGATGGAATTCAATGTTGATGAATGTGAAGTCATCCATTTTGGTGGAAATAACAATAAAAGGGACTATTACTTGAATGGTAAAAAATTACAGCATGCTGCTGTGTAGAGGGACCTGAGTGTCCTTGTGCACAAATCGTAGAAGGTTGGTTTGCAAGTACAACAGGTAATTAAGAAGGCAAATGGAACATATAAAATTATGTAGGGAATAGGTAAGACAGAAGCAGGGAGGTTGTTTCCACTGGTGGATGAAACTAGAACAAGAGGATATAGCCTCAAAATTAGAGGGAACCAGATTTAGGACTTAATTGAGGAAGAACTTCCTTCACCGAAAGGGCTGTGAATCTGTGGAATTCCCTGCCCTGTGAAGTAGTTAAGGCTTCCTCATTAAAGCTAAGATAGAAAGTTTTTCAATAGTAAAGGAATTAATGGTTATGGTGAGACAGTGGGTAAGTAGAACTGAGGCCATGAAAAGATCAGCCATGATCTTATTGAATGGCGGAGCAGGCTCGAAGGGCCAGATGGCCTACTCCTGCTCCTGGTTCTTATGTTATTCTTATATTATGTTGTTCAGTCTTTGCTTAATGCTGCATACAATGGCAGCATTAAATCTGGACATAGTTACTAGTTATTGTACAGCGTGGATCACCTAGAAAATATGATATATGGTTGCCAGATCACTGACACAGATATAGCAATAAATTATAATATTTATTTTGTGCCAGCAGTACCTTTTGTTTCAGCACTTTGGATGAGATATCAGGAAATTTTCCACAACCCTGGCCATGATTATTCCATCAATAATTTTAGTACACACTCTCAATATTTTCATACCTGTGTGTGTTCTCTTATGACCATTTAATTTAGCCTTATCGGTGAAACAGGCTCCACAGTCCTCACAAATATAAGGTCTCTCTCCAGTGTGTGACCTGAAATTTGTATAAAATAAATTTTAAAACTATTTTGGATTCAAAACATGCAATTTTATGAAAGTTCAAACAACAAATTACATTACAAACACTATGTAGACAAATAGATTCACTTCCACTGGATTTACATTTTTAAAATAATTGATAATGTGTTTTTAACCTGAAAATTTATTTTACAGCAGTTAATCTGTCATTTTATAAATTTATAATAACATGCTTAAAAACAAGTCAAATACAGTCCAGATTAAGCTACTTGTTCCGTGAGTCTCAGAACTGTCTGAGATGTGACACAGCACCTGCCAATGGCTGTAATGAGCTTTATTAGTTCTTGCACAGGTTGTTGAATAGCAAAAACATTCAAACAGGCAATACTGATGCAGCAAGATGTTATCTAATTCTAACTCATGTTGATGCAAATGTGGAGAAGACAGCTGCCTGTCTGCTCACCTACCCATCTAACCAGGACAGAAGACTTAACAGAAGTAAAAGCTTGCTTCTCCACACAACTAGGAGGAGACACTCTGTAGATGGGAAAGCTTGTTTGCCCTTTTTCTCACAAAGGGATGCCTTGTACAGATGGATGTCTGTAAGGTAGAAAAAACGTTGATAAATGGAAACTAAATATAAGGACATGACCTTGTGTGTATTTTCAGCTGTGATGGTTGGGCAAATCGAGAATGGCAAATGGAGCATTCATAAGGCTTCTCTCCAGTGTGTGTCCGCATGTGAAATACCAGTGCTGTTCGTGAGCTCAGAATTTTCCCACAAACAGAACATAGTGGACGTTTAATACGCCCTTCATGCTTCCGTGCATAATGAGTCCTCACATCTCTTTTTCTCTTAAAAGTTGCATTGCATAGAGTGCAGGCAAAGTGCCTTTCATCACTGTGAACACAAGCACAATGTTCTTTCCAACTGTTGTGCGTTGCAAAAGCCTTCCCACAGATCTCACAGTGATAGACTTTCCCTGGTAATGACTGGTGAATATCTTTGCAGTGAACCACATAATCCTTTCTTGAATTAAATTCATCATCACATTTGTCACATTTAATGTTGTGATTTGATTTTCGTAATCTTCCCCTCTTACTGCCTTTCTTTACATCAATGTCCTCATCAGAATCGTTTGGTTCAGGATCATGCTCATTTGGATAGTCTTCATCTTTACTATTATCATCCTCATCGTCTGTACTATTTTCTTCATCAGCTTCTACTTCACACTCTGTGTCACCGTCATTATCGTCATCATCATCATCATTTTCCAAGTCTTCAGTTTCATCCTCGCCAGTATCTTCTTCATTCTTAACATGAGCTTCTTTCTTATTTAGTGAACTATTTTGTGCAATCTTGCGACCTTTATCTTTCTCTTCTTCCATGCCATTGCTATTACTGCATCTGATCTCTGTATCAGATATGCTATGTTGCTCTTTCTCAAGGCATGTTTCCTTGTAATTGTTAATGTTCGTGACCAAGTCATTATCTTCTGGTCTATCCCAACCGTGTCTGTTACTACCGATGTCTGTGACAGGATCAGCTGCGTTATCTGACTTATCTACTTGTGGCACCATTTTCCAGTAAATAAATGGTGGTTTCTTCTCTTGACCAGATTCATGTATCTTTCTGTAAAGAAAAACACCTGATTTAATTTTAAATGCAGTCTTCATAGTTCAAAAAGTATAATCACATCACCACATAAATGATCTTATAAATAATTTCCCTCTGTTTACATCAACCTAATTCCTTACAACATAATTGAATCATAGTTCAATTTTAGGTCCAGATAACCTAGTATAGCAACAAAATGAAAGACAAATAATCAGACATTGATTCTGTAACTTGATTTCTAACTGCACATATTTTTGGATAAATTACACCAAAATGATCCGCTAAAGTATATAATTTTGGAAATGACCATATATAGTGCCTTTACAGTAGCAAAACTAATCTGAAGGGAGAACTGCTAATGGTTGTGCAAATTGGAAAAAGCTCAGGAGACTGTCATCTGAGAAACAAAGTTCCAGGCAGGACAAGGCAAATATTGCACTACAGAAGGTTGCAGAATTAGGGATAAGCAAAGCGTTGTGTGGATTTAAACATTAAGTTAATTTTAAATTTGTTATATAAATTCAGGAACCAAGAACAAATGTGGGTTTTTTTTTCCACAGAAGGTGAATAATCAGAGACAGGCCAAGAGAGCATTGTAATAGCTGAGTGTGAAGACAGATGGTCTGAGGTTCAGACAAAGACAGAAAATGGCACACAGTCAGTAGGTCATATTTGTGAAAGCAAAGATCTAGAATTGAATGCTTAATCCAGTTTAAATAGTGTTGCCAGTTTTCATATGCTCTTATTTGCTCTGCGATTGTGACGAGGGAGAAGATGAAGCTGGCGGCAAGGGTATGAACTTTGTGGCAGTGGTGAAAATTGGTGAGTATGCTTTTTACCAATGTTTAGTCGGAGGAAATTACAGACAGTAAAAGACTCAATATCAGATAAGCAGTCTAATAGTACAGCATTGGTGAAGGGCACCAGAAAGTTAAAGAGAGAGACAGAGAGGGAAAGACCGAGAGAGAGAGACAAAGTGTCATCAGCATATATATGGAAGTTGATCTCATATCCATAGATGATATCACCAAACATGCGTCTGTGGAACAGGAGGAGTCTAAGGATGGATTCTCAAGGGATTCTTGAGCTATTGGAAGATGGGATTTTCACAGTGATACTCTGGCTTTGGACAGGCAGGAGTGGAAACAACTGAAGGTAGCCTAACTAAGCTTGTCAAAATAAAAAGGTATTAGATGATGAGTGTCCATGTTAAAGATTGCACACAATTCAAGGAAGAATAATGCACAAAGTTTATAACTTTGGTTAGAGTTGCTTTGTTGCTGTGGGAGGGGCAGAAATCTGTATCAAGGGATGAGAGGAGAAAGTCTTGGAACATAGATCTGGGGGTGAAACGTTCAAGGGTTGGTGATGGTGTGATATAGAGACATCGAAAGTAAAATGTTTGAAATAGAGGGTCATGATCATCATTTGGAAGGGCTCCAGGAAAGGGAACTATTTACAACGTCAATTATTATATAGCCAAGGAAGGAGGTTAATTAGTTAACAGCTTACTAGGAATAGGACTGAATCAGCAAGAGGCAGATGTCATGGATAAAATAAGTTTGAAGAAGGTATAGAGATGCAGGTGAACAGGGGAATGAGGTGGGGAAAAGAGTTGAGATAATCTAGAAATATATTTTTCCCTGCCATGCTAAGGTTACAGGATTGGTTTAACTTAAACAGTAAGTTTATAGAAACAATGTAAGATAATGTCTCATACTTGTAAGCATGTAACTATATAAGCAGCAAGCATTTTAAAATACTGCAAGAACTTCTCTGCGTTAAAACATTCACATCATGTGAATAATAGTAGTAAACAATATGAAGACTTTGAGATAGTAAGGATTTATGAGAATTATTTCAGGGACAGGAACTTCAGTTAGATGAATACTCTAAAGAAGTTGGGGTTGTTGGCTGAAAGAAGTCTGAGAGAAAGTTTGATAGAGGTGTTTCCATCAAGGGAGGGGTTGAGAATAAGAAGATGCAGATTTAAAGAGACTAGCAAAAAGAAACAAAGATAACATGAGCAGGAGCTTTTTAATCAGTGAGCATTTACAATCTGAATGCACTGTTAAGAGTGGTGGTGGCAGATTGAATGATGGCTTTCAAAAGGAAATTGATCTGAAAGGAAACAAAATAATTGCAGAGATAGGGTATATAGAGATTACATAAATTGCTCTTGCAATTAATTGGCACAGACTCAATATATCGAATGGACTCCAGTGTTCTAGCCATTCTATTGAGTTCAATTTGTACAATCATGGTGGTTGCTGAAAAATAATAAAAGGAACAGAATCCCATTGTGGGGAAATCTAACAAAGGTCAGTAAAACCAAACAATATTTGTTGGAATGTATACCTTTTGTCTGTATTCGTGATTTTCTTCAAAATATATTTCAATTACTTGAGCTCTGAGACTCAAAGCACAAAAAATTACAAAAGAGTGTAAATGGAAAGCTGGCAGTGAGCTGATTTGTCAGAAAGTATCTGGGCCTGCAGCCATAAACAACCTGGGTGGGCTACATTGCCTAATTGTGTAACATCTGCCTCTCACTTGGGAAGATGTCCTGCCCGAGAGTTGCAAGCCAAACTGATTGGCCAGCAGCTCTATCAGTGCTGGCACTGCCAGAGCTCTGTGGTGGTTGCTTCCAGGATGGAAGAAAAGGTTCAAAGAGGATTATGGCTTCCTGAGAGGGCAGTTCCTGGGGGTTTAAAGTGGGCAGGGAGCCTAGACCTTAGGGAGGAGGAGAATGGACTGTAGGACTAAGGTTTGATCAGGCTGGAAGGAAGAGTGGATGGCATCTTGGTGGGGTAGTACACCAGTGCATGCATGGGCACTCCCATAATGAGGTGTCCCTCTCCTTCCCACCTTTGTTCACATAGGTCTTTAAAAGCAGTCTGCTCACTCCTGTCTGACTGCCTACATCAGCTGCATTTTGGCAAGGGCAGAATATTGTTTGGGTCAACCCAGCTTTTAACGAGATCAACTGCCAATTATTTATTTGATCATTGCGAGAAGCCTGCCAATTTTGGTGCTAGCCCACCCTCTATTATGGGGACAGCTTGAGGGTTGGTGGGATATTCTATGCAACTAAAATTCAAATCACTTCAAAACTGCATTTTTAACTGTCTTTTTTTAGTTTCAAAGTGTTCAATAAAATCAAATAAAATCATGGAATTAATTGATCTTGTTGCAGAGATACTTGAATCAGGAACATGAATAAAGAGACAACTTTGCAGAAAGAATATTTGCAATATGTACTTAAGGGCGTTTGCAAAGAAAATCATTTTGGCTTTTATTGGTAGTGCATTGCACTAAGTACTTGAAATAGTACAGTCTGGGTTATTTTTAAAAAGTATGCATCCATGTCAGATACAAAATATTAAATGTTCTTGCTAATAAATATTCACCAGGAGATAAGTCTTGTGTTGACATTCCAAACCACTGCATCACAGAATGGTACAATATGGAATTATTTCCCACATAGATCTCAAGCTCAAAACACAAAAGCAGGCAAGCACTTTCACAAGCGGCAGGAAAAATAGAAAGAATCTAATAATGCAGTGCCTTACCACATCATTGTGACATCCCAAAGTGCTTTATGGCTAATATATTTTTGTAGTACATTTGCAGCTGTTATGTAGGAAATATGACAAACAAATTTGCATATAAAGGCAAATGAACAAATGATTAATCAACATTTTCTTGGTGATCTTGGTTGAGGGGTGAATATTGACCTGGATAACTGAAAAACATTTTCCTTCAAATAATGTTGGGTTCATAACACAATTCTCTTTCTTCCCTTTACCATTTTTTGGCAAGGTACAGTTACTGCTTGAACCGGCAGCTAGGGGCTCAGTTTAACATGTCATCTAAAAAGATGCTCCTCCAAAGCATTACTGCACTGACATGTCAAACTAGGTCATGCATTCAAGTCCTGAATCCACAATGTCTAAACATGGTGCAATATTACTGGCAACATGATTGGTTACAGTTGCACAGCAGATGGAAGTAATGATAATCAGGCATCCCATGATAATTCTACTGCCTTCAAACAGCCATCTGTAGTATTGCATGAGAAAAGTTACAAGTTGGCTGCTATACTGCCTTGTTAATCCAGGATTTTGTGTGATATTTGGAAACTCTGGGATAACAAAAAAAAATTAGATATGATAAAGTTAAATACATGTTTTCAGTAAAACAGCCAAGAAAAAGAATGTCATGTTATCTGGTAGTTAGGTCTGAAAAAAAATTCCCACAGCAAGAACAAACTGCTTCTAAGTAATACTGTGTTTATGTCATTAATGATATTGAATTCATAACTTAATTTAGAGTGGCAAATGGAGCTCAGATTTCAGAAGGGCCTAATTTTTGGCTGTTCCTTTGAACTGAGCTTAGATAATGGAATCACTACATTGCAATTTCTTTTTTAAAGTTACAGATGTCCTGAATAAATTTTGCACAAATAAATTCAACACTTTAATCAAAATTGAATTTTGCTTTTATCTGTAATACCAGAGTTTACAAAAATAGACTTTAGAATTCATTGTTGATGCTAGAAGATGAATTTATTTTAGTAAAGCAGTTTTTCAGCTTTATGTAAACATGATGCAGCATTATTGATTTATATCTTTTATTTTTTCTTACATTAATACCAATTCCATCACCTTCCCTCTTTGATCCAACGTAAAGCTATATTTCGCCTTATCTTTTTCACCCACACCTGTTAGTCAATTCTGAACAAAATTATTGCAATTTTGGAGATATGATTTTAAAAGAAAGAGTTATGTAACCATGCTTTGTCTTGGCTGCAAAGGACTCATGGATTACGCATATGCTAAGAGTTTTAATGAAACAAACTCCATTGGAAACTGCTTTCTTAGCAATTATTCTGCAGCACCTTTTGAAAGCATCCAGTTTTCTCTATAATCCATCTATATTGGTCATTGATTTGGATGTCGAAAGCAGCTGTGATTAACCAGGCCAGAATAAAATATTTCAAGGCTAAGTAATAAACATATATTTTGATAAATAAACCAGGATCCTGCTATTCTCTCACTAGCACCAATTTTAAAGTCCCAGCAGAGCACAACCAAGCATAATTATGGGATAACCAAACAAGGTTTCTTTTAATAGAATAAATGAAGCCACAATTCCGATGTTATCAGAGCAATACTTGTTAAGAGATCTTCTTGTTAAATTCAGCAACCTGATAAAATAAATGGAAACAATGAACTTATCAATTTTATGCACATGTATGAATTTTAAAATGATCATTTATCTGCTTTAATGTAAAGTGTTCTCGATAGACAGTGCTAATATTGTATGCCTGACAACTAAACTGTTTATATACATTACCAGCTTCTCAAGTTAGATAAAGTTTAACATTCTAAATGATCATTTGCAATATAAAGCTCAATTCGTCATTATTTGAAAAATGAATAAAACTGGATACATATGTATATAGCAAGGCAGGTGATTAAACCCTACACTGTAATGCTCGAAACTGATCAACATTTAATGTTGAATGGCAGGTACGCTAACCAGCTACAGAAACACAACATAACATAGTACCCTGCTTAAGAGGTACGAAGGACCATTTAACATAGGAAACTATTCATTTGCTGATAATTTTCCAAACTTGAAATAATTCACCTCAGGACCTATCTTGACTATTTCTTTGAAAGATAAATGTATCAGGACTGGTGAGTTCCTCAAATAGGCATTACAACTGTACTGTAGATCCCAGCCCAATCATATGCAAGTCAATTGAAAAACTGCCAGTGAGCTATATTTTATGCAACAATGGCTTATACTGCATCAAGTTAGGCACAAAAGATCCTAATATTGCTGCCTACACTACCTGTCCTCATTATAACAAATCTTTGAAAACATTTTATCTAGCTTCACAAGGACTACAAAATGCATATACCTGTACATATTTTGAAGATGGCTGCATCATGTTAGAATCACTGGACGAGTGATCTAAAAATCAAAGATAATAGGTCCAAATTCTGCCATAGCAGCTGATTGAATTTAAATTCAATTCATAAAATCTGGAATTAAAAGTTAGCCTCAGTAATGGCAACCACAGAACCATCCCAGTTGTCATTAAAAAAGCCCATTAATCATGTCCTTTTATTCACTCATAGAAGATAGACATTGCTGCCAGGGCCAGTGTTTATTGTCTATCCTTAGCTAACTTTGAAGTGTTGGTGAGCTGCGTTCTTGAACTGCTGCTGTCCACGTGTGTAGGTAGACCCACTATTCTATTTGGGGGAGGGGTGATTTCCAGGATTTTGATCCAGCCACATATTTCCAAGTCAGGGTGGTGAGTGGCTTGGAGGGAATTTGCAGGTGGTGTTCTCATGTATCTGCTACTCTTGATATTCTAGATGGTAAAGGTTCAAGGTTTGGAAGATGCTGTCAAAGGATCTTTGGGGAGTTGCTGCATCGCATCACTAACACCACTGCATGCCTTCTTCCAGTCATTTCACCACGATTTCCTAACCCCAACCCAATTAGCTGTCTATGCTCATTTTCTTTCCCTTCTGCTAATTTCCCTTCCGACTTTCTGTTTTCTCATTGTTCAGATGTGGGTCTTGAGATTTGAATACTTCAGCAGTGAACAATTTAACTGAAGAGGTTTGCAAGTTTAGTTAGATCTCCCTGACTAATGATCTTTGGTGAATTTCTGTATTTTGAGCATTACTGTTACACTCCAAACCTCGTATATGCTGTTCCTGTACTGCAAACTGATTCCTCCAACACCCAATGTGGGAGGGGGATGCTAGCCACCTGGGCATTAAATTCTCTTGATGTTATGGATTCAGCTGAGAGAAGTAAATCTGCCATCCTTGCCCAGTCTGGTCAGTGCCCCATTGACTCCAGACTCTCAGTAATGTGGTTGACATTTAACTACTCTTTGAAATGACCAAACAAGCCACTCAGTTCAAGGGCTATTAGGGAACGGCAACAAATGTTCACCTTACCAGTAACAACTAAGCCCTGTGAAAAGAACAAATAATTTTGAAACAAAACAACCACAACAATGTCTGTAGACTGATGGATACAATTACATTTAGAAAATGGGGTGGTTTGATGGCTTTGTGGTTACCACTGCTGCCTCACAGTGCCAGGGACTTGGTTTGATTCTAGTCTTGGGCAACTGTGTGGATTTGCACATTCTCCCTGTGCCTGCATGGATTTCCTCCGGGTGCTCAAGTTTTATCCCGCAGTCCACAGATGTGCAGGTCAAGAGGACTGACCATGGGAAAGGCAGGGTTACAGGGATGGGATGGGTCTGGGTGGAATGCTCTTTGGCGGGCCAGTGTGGACTTGATGGGCCGAATGACCTGCTTCCACAATGTAGCGATTCTACAAAGTGGTTTGCATAAAACAAGTATTTTTCTATCTGGCTTTACTGT